CTGCACCAGTGGAGACCGTCAGCCCCAGCACCAGCGCCCAGGTGCCATCTCCTGGATCTTCAGCACCACAGACCAGCAACCTCCATACAACCCAACAGGCAACATCGGAGCAGTCTCTGGAATCTCCCTCACAGGAGACAAGCAGCTCCAGCCCTGACAGTCAGCTAACATCAGGGTCATCCCACAGCAGCTTCACAGAAACTGAGGACAGCAGCTGCTCCAGCAGTCGGGGTCCTGACCGCCGGCAAAACCACTCCTGCCGGCAACGTCAGGCCCAAATACCACAGCTTCGGTCTAGAAGTCCCCATGACAGGAGCCATGTGCCAGCACCAAGTCCTGGGAGGCGCAGGCCCAGGCAGAGACAATCAGACACATCCCGCAGGCGAAACTGCTCCCGCCTGCAACGTCGGACCCCAAATCGATCTGGCCGGTCCAGAAGTCGCCGTGACAGGAGCCAAGTGAGAGCACCAAGTGATGGGAGGAGCAGCCACAGCCAGGAAACATCAAGGACATCCTGCACAAAAAATCGCTCCTGCCAACAACATCAGATCCCAAATCCATCCGGCTGGTCCAGAAGTCCCCATGACAGGAGCCGTGTTAGAGCCCCCAGTGCTGGGAACTCCACTCACCGGTGGGACAGTGAGACAGGGACCCACCGCTGACACGTCCCACGTCAGACAGGGAGGAGGAGGCCCCCAAAGGGAGGGAGCCAGGTGAGAGCAAAGTGCCCCTCCCACAGCCTGGCAGAGGGGCTGTCAGGGTGGGCAGCACAGGTGCCATGACTGGGGCCATTGTCTCTCTCCCCTCCAGCATGCCTGCTGTGTCAGCCATCAGAGGCTGACCCGGACATCTGTAGAGAAAACCTTCAGATAAATGAGTTCTGTGCCCACGAGTTCTGCCTGGTGAGTTGCTCCGTGGACTCCTTCCATTTTTTGACAGGCAGTCCCTGCCACTCTCTCCTCATCAGTGAGTGTTGTTTTTCCTGCAGTTTTTTGCCAGCCTCCTTGATCAGCAAGAGAATGAACGAGTAGGACTCAGGGTTTTCCTCCCAAGGAATATCCCAGATGTACTCTCCCAGGTGGCACAGCAGGTGAGAGCCTGACAAGAGCAGGGAGATTTGGGCCAGGTGAGGTTTGCTGGAGCTCAGCCCAGACCCCAAGCAAGAAAGCCCAGCCCTTCCAACCAGCTCTGGGACAAGGAGGAGGCCATGAGGCTGCTGCTGATGGGGCTGCTCTGCTC